GGGCCACGCTGCCGAGTAAGGTGTCCGAGCCCCTGTCCAAGTTCCCGCTCTCCGCCCACCAGGACAAGATGCGTGGCCTCCTGTCGCTGCCCGAGCCCAAGGGCTACCAGAAGGACGTCGTGTGTGTCCCCAACAGGGGCGCGCTGGCGGAGCCCAGTGAGGCTGGGCTGTTCGAGAACAAGAGCGTGGAAGTGGAGGTGCTGTCCCCGGCCCGGGAGCCCGTGCAGCCGGGGGTGCCGCTGACCGTGGTGGCGCCCGCCGAGCTGGTGGTGCCGGCCAACTGCCTGGCCCAGCTGATGGACGTCAAGGTGGTCAACGGAACCCAGCAGCTCGTCCTGAAGCTCTTCCCTCTGGAGGAGAGTAACGGCCTGGAGCCCGCGGGCGGAGGCGACGCTGAGCAGCAGAAGGCCGGGGACAAGGGCTCCGGCGAGCGGGAGACGGTGGCCAGGGTGGAGCCCACGAAGGCCCTGGCCCTCGAGGGGGGCGCGGGCAGGCTGGCCGGCCTGCATCGTCTCCAGGCCTCCGTGCAGCGGCGGCTCAAAGACATGAAGTGGGTGCGGTCCTACGACGTCTTCATGGCCAACCCCGGCGTGCACGGCCCCGGGGAGTCGCCCTTCCACCCCGAGGCGGCGGAGGATCCGCACAAGAGGGGTCATCTCTATCTCCACAGAACGGAGCTTCCAGCCTTTGCCTTCAAAGGCCCCTTGTCCCCGTCGGTGTTAAAGAACAGCGTCCTGTGTGATCTGGGCACAGCGTCAAACTCTTTCCCTTACAAACCTGCCGCCGCCTTCGCTGAAGACGGGCGGAGTCTGCACCGCGAGGCCCCGCCGCTGTTCCCCTTCTCTCTGGCCGCGCCCGCCTCTGCGGACAAGGGCTTACTGCCCACCGGCAGGAACGGCGTGGCGCCCAGGAGAGAGCTCGGTGTCCCGGCACGTGTGGCCGCCTCTGCCAGGAAGCTGGGCCGCCAGCCCGAGGAGCCCCGCGCAGCCCCTGGGCCAGGCCGCGTCTCGTCCCCGCCCAGAGGCGAGCATCCCACCCGAGCGCTGGCCGGGGAGGACGGGGCCCGGGCCCGGCCGCCCGCGGACTCACCTTGGGACTTAAAGAATCCCGAAAGGACTAGTGACACTTTCGACGGCCCCATCATCTCGTCAGTGTTTTCCCTGAGCTCAGGATCCGAAAACGTCCCCGAGGGCGTGAAGTGGAACAGCTCCACTTCCAAGATAAAGTCGATTGAGCTCTTGCGCAAAAAGATAGCCAAACTGATCGAGTCCTGTGGCAGGCCTCCGTCTCTGGGCGCGAGCCACGCCCTCGGGCGGCCCGCGGGCCAGGCCTCCAAGACCACCTCGAAAACCACCCCGGAAGGGCACGGGGAAGTCACCAGCTGTTCCTCGGGCACCCTCTTAAAACCTCGGGGTGATGGGAGGGCTGGCGGGCTGCTGCCACACCCGCAGGTCTGTCCACCGTTTGCAGACGGCCGCCGTGGGGACGCTGAAGACAGGGCCACCAGGAAGGCCCACGTGGCCACCCCAGTGTTGATCCCCAAAGGGGCGGTGCTGAGGGTCCTGAACTCCTCAGAGGATGCCCACATCATAGAGGCCACGTGCGACACGCCAGTCAGCATACCCTGCAGCAAGACGCAGCTCGTCAAGCCCACACCCTTCTGCCCAGTGAGACACGCAGGCTCGCGCGCCCTGCCGGCCGCCGGCGGGCTGGCCAACATGTTCCCTGACCCCGACCTGGCTCTTCGACCCAAGCCAAGGAAAGAGAGTGCTTTCTGCAGTCTCACCCCAAAGAAAACGGGGCCCCTGCAGGGACAGCAGGCGAGCGGAGCACTCGGCAAGCCCGGGAAGCTCCTTCCCCGAAGTCTTCCAGCAAGTAAAAATAAAAGCAGACAGGTAAACCCACCCAAGAAGAGAAGCAAAATGCAGCCCGACCCCAGCCGCTGCCTCAAGGACCCTGCGATCTTGCAGGTGGCCCGACAGCTCCGGCTGGTCGCGGCCAAACCCGGGCAGCTGATCAAATGCCCCCGACGCAACCAGCCAGTCATCGTGCTGAACCACCCTGACGTGGACTCGCCCGAGGTGACCAACGTGATGAAGGTCATCAACAAGTACAAGGGCAACGTCCTCAAGGTCGTCCTCTCGGAGAGGACGAGGTGCCAGCTGGGCATCCGGCGGCATCATGTCCGGCTCACCTACCAGAACGTGGAGGAAGCCAACCAAATCAAAAGGCAAATGATGCTGAAGATGAAGCTGAAGAAAGTCCACAAGAACAACTACCAAGTGGTGCGCCCCCTGCCGGACGACGCAGCCCAGTGCATCTTCAAGTGCTGGTTCTGCGGGCGGCTCTACGAGGACCAGGAGGAGTGGATGAGCCACGGCCAGCGGCACCTCATCGAGGCCACGCGGGACTGGGACGTCCTCTCTTCCAAGGTCAAGTAGGGCTAAGAGACTTCGCAGCGGATGGGCTTGCTCCTAGCCGTGTCCAGCTTGGGTTTCCTCCCCTCCCTGACTCGGGTGGCGGCAATGGGGGCGCCCGGTCACGCCGTCCCTCGCGGGCGTGTGGGGCGGGCGCCTCGGCCTGAGGTGCGGGACTCGGCCTGGGAAGCACCCCGAGCCCCAGAGGCAGGACACGTGTCCGTCACCCGTTCCTCTGGGGACAGCAGGTGGCTACCCAGCTTTTCAGAGGGACGTCCCTCGCCAGCTCCCCTGTGTGCGCGCAAACCCGGGGTGACGCGCTGAGCTTCGCGCTCCGCTCGCCTGGCAGAACCCCCGGAGGGCCGCCCGGCCACCCTGCAGGCCGCAGCCACCGCTTTCACCTGACTCCTGAATGTTGGACCATGACGACGGCGGTTTCTGTTGTCAGCCGTGTTGAATCTGTTCGGAGAGCGACCGTCCCGCTGCTCCCTGCCGACGCCGTAACGGTCCAAGTGTCGACTTAGCCCAGAACTGGGCTTTGAGTTGCTGGCTGCTGCAGCAGAGCGAGTCCGCGGAGCTGCCTGAATAAACTACTCAGCCAGTGGCCGGGAGAGAGAAACTTCAAGCTCGGGGGCCCTTTTCTGGGATCTCCATTCCTGGTAACTGGAGTTGGGGATACGCCTCTTTTGCAAAACGAACAGTCAAGAGAGGGGACATAGCTCAAGTCCAGCTCCCGGCGGTCCCGCGCTCATTCAGGAGCCACTTTGGACGCGAACCCACAGTCCCCTACGACAGGAGCATTGGGGGGTCAGGGGGCAGCCGAGGGCGCGTCCTGACTTTGTGGGGGTCTTAGTTTTCATCTAGGAGTTGCCACAGATGTGGGGGAGGGTCACAGCCCTGCGCCCCTTAGCCCTGGCCCGCCTCCCGTGGCCCTTTCCTTCGCGACCTTTGAGCCCTGGAAATTTTCCCGCCGGAATAGCAAGAACAGGCGGGAATGTACGCGCTGCCCGTCCCCACTGCCCACCTCGCCTGTCGGGTCAGGCCCGCCCTGCTTTTCCTCGGTGTCAGAGCCTGCTGCTGGCCGGAACCCCCCCTGGCTGCACCCGCGCCCTGCTGGGGGTGCGCCCGCGCCTTCCCCTCCCGTCCTCCGCCAGGAGACGCCCCGGAGCCGGAGCCTCCCCCTCCTCAGCAGCGGACCATGGGGTTTCGGGCCTCGCTCGCCCACCCAGCAGGCACCGGCCAGGAGGCGGCCCGCGGGAGGCCCCGCTGGAGGTCTTCGTCCCGGGGTGCCTGGCGGCGCCCCCTCCAGGACTGAGGGCCGGAGCAGGGCCCCGTGTCCGCTGGGCGGTTTGCCGCTCGGCCTCGTTGCAGTGCTGCGCGCTTCTTGGTCCTTCAGTACGCGACTGACATTGGTTATTGGCTCATTTCCATCAGAACTTAAACTGGGATTTTTTTTTTATGTGCGTACACATTTTTTTGTCATGGAAACTGGCTAATTTTCTGATTTCCTATTTTGTAACAAAATGTGGACCAGGGAAATATAAAAAAATTTTATATGCTAGAAGTAATTTATTTTGAAAGCACATTTTTATAGCAGTCTGATCTCATTTTTAGCAAATGAAAGTAGAGCCAGCGGCCAGGCTGCTTTCTGTGAACAAACGGGAGGGGCCCGGAGCTCTGTGGCCGTGTTCGGCCTGCACGCTTGCTGGGTGCCTCTGGGCACTGGCCCAGGCCAGCTTACTGCGGGCCCAGCACGCACCCTAGATCTGAACCCTGCGGTGTGAAGCCGCCTACCGAGACCCCGAGAGGAGAAAAGGCTGTGATTTGTTTCCCTTTCTATACCTCACTGCTTAGTAGCATCGTTCCCGGAAGGCTAGACCTGCACCTTTCAGGAAGGGTGACCTCGACTGTGAACCAGGCTGGGCTGCCCAGCAGCAGCACGAAATACTAAAACTGCAGCGGCCGCCGTTAGCTCAAGTATTATTACCCTTAACGCGCCTTGTGTCCTTAGCAGAGCAGAACTGTGTGAGTGGAGTCTGCCGCGCTTTGGGGGACTTGCAAAAATGCAGTGCTTTTGGAGTCAGGACCCCAGGGGTGTTTGGTAAAGGCTGAGACAGAGGCAAAGGCCGTCTTTCGTTTATTTAAAAAAAAAAAACAAACCTAGAACTAGCTTGTTCTCGTAGGTCAGTGTCAAGAAACACATTTCTAACATGGAGGCAAAGGGGCAGAACTGTGTGAAGCATTTGTGGACTTTTTCTTACCGTGATATTGAAGGACCTCTACTCAGTAAATTTTATTAATAGTACTCACTGATAAAATTATTTTAAGCTTATTTTTTAAGGTAGATTTTCTTACTTTGGGGCATCAGAAATGAGATGATCTTGTTATATTTATGATATGACAAAGAGTGAAAATTTAAAAAAGACTCAAAGGATACTCTAATAGATTATATTTTACTTAAATTTCTATCCCCAGCCCCCCACATTTGTGAGCCCCCGTTTTGGGCCGAGTGCTGTTTGTTAAGTCAACCTGAACACAGTGCATCCCCCTGAGACGCTCCTCCGTCCTCCTCCGGTCTCGCCGTCTGCACCATCCGGGAACCAGGCTTCGGCGCTGCCGGGCCGCGGAGGCACCGAGTCTGTCCATGTCAGTACGAGCAGAAAACATTGCGTGACGTGTTCTAAGCGTTGTCGTCGTGAGTCCTGTGCGGGCCGTCGGTGCGTCTGCTGCTCTGGTTTTGAAACACATTTGTACATAGGTCTAGAAGTTGGCATAAATTTTGTTAAATAAAGCAACTGTAAAACCTTCTCTGCCCCTTCATTTCCAGCGTTATGCAGTGGCTGTTTATACACAGCCTGCCTGTGCTGAACAGTGTCGAGCAAAGGCATCCCCCATCCACACTTCCCAGGCTTGGCACCCCTGGGGGCCACGAACCCCCACCCCAGGCTGCCCAGCCTCGACTGCCATGAGCTGGGGTGCTGTTGTTGTATTTGGCAGTATCTAAACCTGAAGCAGTGTGTTTTTTAAAAAACTACAGTTAACAGTCTACAGCTGTACAGCACCATCCAGTGGGTCCTCTCCTCCCCAGCCTCCCCTCTGGCAACCCCCACATATACACCAGATTATAGACAATGGAATACTACTCAGTCACAAAAAGTGATCAAACTTGCCAGCCAGTTGTGAGAATATGGATGAACAGGAGGGGATGATGTTAGTGAGCTAGGTCAGGAGACAAAGACTGATTTCACTGTTTCTGACTCCTAATGGGATAATACAATTTTAGCTGTGACATTTTAACTTTCCATGTACGACTTGCCAGGTTTGGTGCTTCCTGTGATTTATTGCAAGAATCCCAATTTTTTTTTTTAAAGATTTGTGCATACAGAACTGGGGTACAGGCCAGAGGCTCAGGGGTAGCGAGAGGCTTCACCAAGACAGAGTGGGGAGCAGAACAGGCAGATCGATGAAGTACACTGCTGAGGGGAGCAGTGGGCGGGTCAGGAGAGGTCTGCCGCACCACGTGGGTCACCTCGGAGCAGGCGGGGATCGAACTCAAGCGGAAGTGGCTTTAGCTTCTCAGTGCTGTGCTCTAACCCGCTGCGCCACCAGGGAGGGCCTCAAGAATCCCAATCTTAAGGTCAAAAAACCAATCTTACATTCGTTTGATATTAACAATAAATCCATGGAACAGTGGGCATCAAATCAGAAGAACTGACATCTTGGCCCATTGGAATTGAAATAATTTGAAATAGAACTTGAGATCATGTTAACGAGCCAGGTAACAAACAGCGCAGAGGCATGCCCGAGGGGCAGCCCACTGCAGGGCGATAGTCTTCCTGCTAGCTGGGTCACTTTTCACAGGGCAGGTGCAGCATGGAGGAGCGCAGGAGGCAGGCAGGGTTGGCGCTCAGCCGTCGTCTGCTGGGGGCTAGCGTGTGCCAGGCCACCAGGCCACAGGCTGGAATCAGTGCTCACGTCAGCTACCAGTAAGGGGCGCAGCTGGCATATTCAGTAAGCAGCAACTTGCCACGGTGACTGACGGAGCGCGGAACGGCCTATCTCCCTCGCTCATCTAGTAGCAGCCCGTCATACCCAGACTTAATACACTTTATATCTTGCAGGGTTACTAAAGAATTCAAGTGCCCAGAGTGGTGTCTCAGATGCCTAGCATTTCACTCCAGAAGTGTTTACTCACGAAACCTTTCCCGCGGCCGTCTCGGGAAAGCAAGAGCCAGGCTTCCAGGAATTCTTCCACCAGCGGCCTTTCCCTCACGGAGGCCTAAGGAGGTCTGGCCCCGCCCCAGCCTGGGCAGGGTCTGAGTCCTTGGGTGCTGCGCGCTTCTTTGCCACTTGAGCACTGGGCCGGAACAGGCAGCCCTCCCTCCCTCTGGCTGCTTCTGTTTCCCTGCTCAGAACACCTGCTCACCCATCCCCACCCCACTGGAGTGGGATTAGGGTTTCCGTGGTGCTACGGCTGCTCTGGGAAGTGAAAGAAGGTGAGTCCAGGTCCGGAGGAGGGTACACTGACGAGCAGTGCGTGACAGAACCAGCGCCGGGCTGGAGGGTCAGGAGGACCAGGACGAAGGTGGGCAGCTGAGGGCCTGGTCGGAGAGAAGCCCAGGGCCGCAAAGATGGGGCGTGGATGCGACCACCACCTGGGCGCCCACACCCGGGCGGCCGTGCCGGGCCGGAGCTGCCCTCAGCTGGTTTCCACGTAGCTGTGGCAAGACGTCCGGTCCTCAGGCACAGAGAGCTCGCAACTGGAACTGAGGTCTGAGACACCTGCTGGCAGCTCAGACCATCCGGGGTCCAAGGCCGGCTCCCGTCACCACCTCACCGTCCCCACTGCCCACCTGCCGGTGCAGCTTCGCTGTCCGAGCCGACAGGCCGACGCGCTTCCCAAGCCATGCCCGGCGTGGAACTGGCGTCCAGGTGTCAGGCCGACGCCAGATCAATGGCCCCTCGTCACCCTCGAGGATTGGGACCTGGGGCGGGACCACCCAGGAGCGTCAACCAAAGCTCAGGACAGTGCCGGAGCCCCCAAAGCTGGTCTTGTGGCCGTGGGCAAAGGCACAAGGTCACATCCTCCCACATTCTAGCCGGGTCTTCCCTCACTGTTGTTCTAAAATTTAGCTCCAGACTATTTGGAGAAGTAGAAAGAATTTGACCTGGGAAATTGCTACCTTAGCCTGAGCCTTTGTTTTAGAGACGGAGAGCTGGCAAGACTCTGGTTTCTTCCCACCACGATCAGATGAAGTCTCAGCCTGAGACAGCAGTGTATGGTCCTGGGGGGGGGGGGGGTTTCTGATCTTCATTCTGTTAGTGAAATGTGACCAAAGAAATCCAGAAGAGGGAATTGTGATTTAGAACACAGAGGTTTCTCGATAAAATGAGACGGCATGGTTGGCAGCTAGTTTTGCCAGCAATCCACACAGATATTCTCTACAACTGGCAATTATCTGCCTGTTCGAATACAGTCAGAACTGATTGTTGTAGGAGAGAGAAAATAGAACGCTCAGCCCGAAGAACTATTAAGAGCAAATTACATCTAACCTGCAAAACGCGGGGGTTGAGCTGGATCCTAGTAATAACGCGAGCATCCACGAGAAGAGCGGGGCGTCTTTCAGAATTAAAAGATCTTAGTAATAGCACAAGCCAAAAACCCTCAATAAAACCTTTGCTCTACATTTTATCTGCCTTCTCTTATATCAGGAAGTTTCACTAACTTTGTAATGTTTTCAGAACATTTGTCTTGATGAAACCCTCTGCTTGCAATTTTTTTTTTTTTTGAAGCAACGCTGGTTTACATTGTCTATGGTCTTGTTGATTCTTCAGTTTACAGTGAAAAGGGTAGAGTTCGGGAAGAACATTCTAGAAAGAAGGAGCGCCATGCAGAAGGTACATGGGTGGAAACAGCATTTCCCCGGGCGGATTCCATCTTCCCGTGAACAGCCTCGCCTTCCAGGGTGTGCAGGCGCTGGCATTTCACCGCAGCCGCTGGGATGACCTGGTGGGCAGACCCAGAGTCCCTGCCACAGCAGGCGTTGGGGCTGCCAGAGGCTCCCGCTGCGTGGCGGGGAGGCCCTTCTTCCCTACCGCAGGCTCGCTGCCGAGTCTGCCAAACAGGCGGACTTAAACGCGGTGGCTGGAGGCAGCCCCCGCCCCCGCCCCCGCCCCCCGGGGCTTGTCTTCCGCATCCACTGCGGTGAACTGACCCCGAACAGAGCGCAGACGGACCCCCGCCTCCCCAGACATCTGCCCGCGGCCAGCGATGCTCCCAGAGCCGCCAGCTGAACACAGGCCGAGAAAGCGGGTGTGGAGCCGCACTCTGGGGAAGGGGCCGGCCCCACGCCGGGACACCCCATTCCCGCGTGTCCCCTCCAGCTCCCTCTCGCTCGCAGTCTGCTCTGGGCAAAGTGGGCAGTCGGGAGCCACCTAGCCGTCACCTGAAGGTCGTGTCCGTCAGGCCGAAAGCCCGCTTGTGCCTTGCCCCGACGGTCCAGCTACTCCCAGGGAGTCCTTCGCGGGGTGCAGGGGTTAGTGACGCCGAAGCAGGGGCCGGAGCCCAGCGGGATAAACTGCGCGGCCAGGCCAGGGCTGTGAGTCCCTCGCAGCGCGAACTGTTCCGTTTCCTTGAGGAAAGTCACTGCGGATGGGCCACCCCGCCAGCACCGCCCTCAGCCCCGAGGGGGCCTGCCACCCCGACTGTTAGCACCCTGAATACTAGACACGACTCCCGCGCACTCACTCCAGGGCCTCGGGCGGTGGGCCCGGGCTGCAGCCCCGGCTCTGCCCCGCGCCCTGGCCAGCACCCTCGGCAGGGGAGCCCTGGTGGCTGCCAAGGCCCCCAGCACAGGCTGCTGCAGAGGAGGGCGCGCTGCTCCCCAGTGGGGGCAGACGCGGCTGTGCCAGGACACGAGGCGGCGGGCTCGCAGCAGCAGGCCCGGGTCACGCCCCCTGCCTGTTCGCGTCTCACTGCACGTGGCCAGGTGTGCACCTGCTGCCGGCACCCGCGGCAGGTCCCTGCGGCTGAGCGGCCGCGCGGGCAGGCACTCCGCGGTGGGGAGCTCCCGCCTGTTCGCACACTGCCCGGCCGGCGGGGGGCGCTTCGCCCGCCCGAGGTGCGCAACCACTGTTCGATTTGCATTAGCGTTT